AGTAATACCTTAAAAAATACCTTAAAGGCACACATTAATGCCTCAGAAACGAATCCATTTTAATTCTTTTGAAAAGACAATGAAGTTCATTTACGTTTATATGATGTTTTGGAGCATGTGTTATGCTTGTTACCTGAAGAAAGTAGTGCCTAATTTGAAAATAATTTGACATAGAAACAGCAAAATGTAAATATTTTTTTTTTGACTTCCATACTAAATCACTATAACTGTACTAATTGCCAAAACGCAACAGAAGAAAGAGATATTTCAGGTACTTTGTCAATGACTACTGCTTTAAACACTACAAAAAGTACAATAAAATTAAAACAAAAACTTTTGAGAAATAAATATAAAAGCATCTCTGGGGCATAATGGGTCTTTAAAATAGGAAAAAGTAAATGATGTGTTATACAATAAAACAAAATGCTTATAACTTCACTTATATAAATAATATGGTGCAAAGCAGGGTCTTTCAAATTTGAAAAGACCATGTGCAATGTCAAAGTAAACTAAGTTTCTGAAGTTTGCATAATTTGTATAATTAAAAAGTTACCGACATATGAAGGTACAACTTTTTAAATAATTCAAAATGAATGCATAATGTATTAAAGAATGAAAACAAAGACCACCAAGGCATTTAGCAGCAGGGCGACAACAAAAAACAGGCGAGTGCACGAAAAACCGCTAGCCCATGATGCACTATGCTTTGATGATACGCTAACACGATGATGAAAATACAATGACATGAAAATGAAGTCGCAGTGATGTTCTAGTGCGACGAAACGCTTTGCGATATCTCATTTTATCATCATACTAAAGCACTTTCACCATGGTGCCCCGGTACAATCATGATTTCACCATCGTACCATGGCAATTTCACCATCATAACAGTGCGTTTTCACCATCGTAACATCACGTTTCCACCATCGTTTAATTGCGTTTTCTCCATCGTTTCATAGTTTTTTCAGCATCGAAACATCGCGTCTATAATCGCCATAATAAGTTCCTCCCTTTCTCCCGACTCGGCTAAGGGCTTGGTCACAATAATTTTATAAAACGCATACGGAATGAGAAGCATTAAAGAAAGTAAACTGCTATCTGTTGATTCCATAGAAATATTAAAAAAATAAGACTGCATGGACAGAAAAATGGATAGAGGGCAATTCTATATTCTCTTCGGTGATCCGGCACGGGGCTCATAAAACAAAACAGTTCCTTTGTATCTTTAGGTACATACATGAATATAACAATGTTGTTGTTTATATAAGTATTTTTAGAGAAAAAAAAACCTTCATTTATTTGTGTTAAGATTGGATTCAAAATCATTTTGAGAAGATATCAGTGTTAGTATGCATTTTTGTACCTAGAACAACGCTACAATAATAATACGTATTACCGGTATGTGTCAATAATTTTTATCGACATTCATCTGGTTTAACAAGTCCTAAGAAATAAATTTATCACAAACAATTACAAGTTATAAATGATATATGATAAAATCAATGCACTATTGCTAGATACACAATGTATCTGTACATCGTATGATTCAGTCGCCATTACAAAATAATATAATAAATATAAATACCTGCTGAACCAAGTCTTGTGAAGCCGACATGTTCCCCTAACTTTACCTGTACTGTGAACTCGTTATTGCTCAATACTGTTTATGTAGCAAAAAAAAAGCGAGGAAATCCCCTCCTTCTTCCAATGTAAAGTTTTAGTTTCACCTATGTTTCGTTGTTGTTTCTACTTTCTTTATCGTTTCCACTGATAACGATATTGCAGTTTCGGTAGCATAAAGGACCGTTTTTCTAATGTAAATCAATTAGGGAAATTGAAAAATTGGATAAATATGGCACTGGTATGATACTTGAATGTTTGACTAGTTTATTTATTATTGTATTTTATGTATCTTAACGCTTGTAAAACAATGTATTCTGGTTTATATAGATGTTTATAAAACATTTCACTGCAGACACTTATTTAAAAAGATTGTTGCACAATGGGCACAATAATATTTTCAAATATTGATTAAAACAATAGAAATGTATCATTTGGATTTTATAATACTATGGTTATTTTTTTAAAAAAAATGTTCAAGTTCTAAAAGATTTAGAATGACAATTTTCCTGATGTATAATAATGTTTCGTTCCACATCACTTAATTATCTGCTATATAAACATATGTAATACCGAATCATGATAAACATATGTAATACCGAATCATGATAAACATATGTAATACCGAATCATGATAAACATATGTACTACGAATCATGATAAACATATGTAATACCGAATCATGATAAACATATGTAATACCGAATCATGATAAACATATGTAATACCGAATCATGATAAACATATGTAATACCGAATCATGATAAACATATGTAATACCGAATCATGATAAACATATGTGATCTAATACCGAATCATATATCTCACACTTTGTAACAACTTCCATGTATAATTATTTGTGTGTGTTGTTATATCTAATACTAAATACCATCAACGTAATTATTCATTGTTTTACAGACTTTCTATTACAGACCTGTTCAGTTTAAAACAAAGAGTTAAATTTCAAACGCGTTGCTAAAATTATGAAAAAATGTTATACCAAAATATCGAAAAGATTATCATACATAAACGTTTCATGACTAGTTTCAAACTTGCTGAATGTATTAGTTGTCTAGCTATATAGAAATGTAAACAATTAGATTTAGATAGGTGTTTTACTTTAAAGGCCCATCATGTCCAAAAATCGTTTTATTTTTATTCCTGAAAAGCTATTCGGTTTTAATGTCCTGTTATATTTTCCAGAAGGTAACTCATTGATCAATCATCTTTATAATATTTTGCGTCTATTGCTTTCTGGTAATCAGTTCAGTTATGGCGTTTAAATACTTTGCATAGAAGTCAATATACTTCTTTGATTACATTTGTTAATGTTTTGATAAATATTTTCACAAACAGCGTTACTTTCTTCAGTTAATAAACATATTTAAAGGGTCTTAAACCATTTAACCCGTAAACTAAACATTTAAAAAAATCATGTTTGCTCTTTCCCAAAAAAAGAAACAAAAGCCCTTCATTTTTGGACTTAAGGTGGCCCTTTTAAAATGGGCAAAGATTAAGTCACGGCCTTTTATTAATTAAAATATTAGGATAGTAACGCAACTATGTAACATCCATTATATGCCAGTAAGTTTCACATTGACCATATGTACAAATATATACGGTAAAATTAAAATAGCCACGCCATGACAAAATCAACATAGTGCGTTTGCGACCAGCATTGATCAAGATCAGACTGCGCATTCTCATCAGGATCCATGCTGTTCGCTTGCATACCCTATTGCAAGTAGAGAAACTGATAGCGAACAGCATGGATCCTGATGTGACTGTGCAGACTACTCTGGATCCATGCTGGTCGCAAACGTATTATGTGGGTTTTGTCATGGCACGGCTTAAATTTCGAGCTGGAAAAGGTCATGAAAAGGTCATTATATTGGTACATGTAAATGATGTATGATATACTAGTAAGTTATTTTTTACTGTCACTGGTGTGACCTTATTTCTAAAATGACCGAATACCGGGTTAGATAATTAACATTCGTGTAACAACCAGATGTTGTCTTAAATTAAGTTCTTCCTCGTTGCTTTTACATGAAGTCAAACTGATTATAGAGGGCATTCGGCCAACATAATATATGTAGAAACCGAAAGTAAAAAATGTATACTTTCTGGCACTATGGATTTGTTTATAAATGTACATCAGTGAGCATTTTTAATTATGATTGTCAGACATATTTTCATAATACAGAGATAGGCTTTATTTTCCTGGATGACAATACATTCCTTATAGATTATCAAAGATTACACCCTCTGCTTTGGTTTACATATTAAACTACGAATTAAGTCTGAAGTTATTATGAAAAATAGCCGAGTTTTTCCGATTGTTAAAATTGTGCAGCGGTCACTGTATGTGATAAAGAAAAGAAGTCAGTTACAGGGAAAGTTTCAAAATTCTCGAGATCCCTAAAAAGTCAGTATCATCATTTAATTATTTAAATTGTTGATATGTTGGTGATCGTTATTGTGCTGATAACGGTGGTGGTTTTGATGATGTTGTTGATAATGATGGTTAAGATAAGGGCGAAGAACATTACAGTGACTGTCATTTTTGACACTTTATCAAATAACTTATAACAATCGTTTGTGTTTTTATCAGGGGGCATGGACGGTAATTTGCACTTTCCATTTCCGTTCAGGAACAGTCCCAATAAAACCGAGCCTGCAACATTGACAATTTTGTCGTTATTTCTCTCCATTTGTTCATGCGGCGAGAGTATGCCTATTTGATACATAAACAGGTTTAAATGAGTGCATTTCGTCCCATAAAGAATACACATATCAATGACAGCTAATAAATATTAAGTACTTACAGTTTAGAACATGTGAATATATATTTTGTTCCAACTTATATGTTTAGAACATATGATATGTCCAATACATATGTATATGAAAAATTATAGCTCTTTATAATTAACGACATGTTCACTCAGGTAATGAGTATTTATAGAGTATACTTCAATACAACTACACTCGAAAAGTATTTATTTCCAGAAAATCAGATCTTTACCGGATAAGCTACGGGAACTTTCAAGAAATATAAATGATCCATCCACAAACACTGAAATCAATAAACTTCACCAGAAAGCAGAGGGGGTTTGTAATTCCGTAACCAAGGCGTTTTACAGTTACCGGAAGTGATGTATTAAAGGAAAGAAGAAGCTTTCACGAGTGTCTTGTCCCAGCAGAGTTGATATTGAAAGATTGTTCACAAAACGTTAGTTGCATTTTAAAGGTGATCTTCGTACTTTGCACAAACGAAATCGTTTCTATAAAGTCGAGCATTCATAATTTTGTGGTGTCAATCGTTGTCCGATGAAAATTAAAAGAAAATGAAATCAAGGCAAGCTAAGAACCGGGAAGTAGATGGATTAGATAAGCAGATTCAACTTACACAAAAGGAAATATCAAAATACGAGGATGAAGCTTACAATGAGGAACGCGGTGCTGTTGACCTCGAAGACCGAGCTAGCGATCTTCGACGTAAATCAGAGAGAACATAAAGAAAAGGGATGGCTATGGGGCGTTGGATCACTGTTAGTTGGAATAGTATTTGTACCATTTACATGTAGGTGTACTTGTAAAGTTGTTTTGTATTTATAACAGCAAAAAGCAAACATCTCATATAGCTAGGTATAAAATTTAACTTAATACCAATGTACATTTGTAGATTGTATCCTGCTTTTCAAAACCAGTAACAGTTTTTTGTTCTGAAGGATTTAGCAATGATACAAATAAATGATTAAACAAAACAGACAACCAAACAGAATTAAACAAAAACATAGAAAAAAATCCATCGGCGAACTAACAAATGAAACAAAAAACAAAGAATATTTTACTTTCAATGCTGTATGTGTAATACACTTATTTCCGTTTAATTCTTGTAGAGTGTGATATGATACAGGAAAATGTACACACTGCTTTATATCTTGTTACATTATAAGGATTTCCAGTCCGCCCCAAATGTAATGTTAGGTGAACCTCATATATACATATATAAAGCCTAGTCATGACATGCAAATCAAGTTTAAAACTGACTTTCAGTGGGTGCTTCACTCGGAGCAGGGTTGGTATCTGCAGGTGTTGGCATGGCCGTGAACTTTGATGACGCCAATGATTGTGAGCGTACTGCTGCAAGCCTTAAAGTTAGTGCACGGGATAAGAAGGAACTGGCTCAAAGAAAGCGGAATTTAAAGGCAGAGTAATGAATCAAAAAAGTGCACGAAAACAATCGAGCTTAGAAATTGCAGAACAAAAATTGGTATGTTTTTCTACTTATCTCATGAACACAAATTTAGTGCGTTTCATTTTGTTTGGAATTTGATGGCACATATGTCTTGAAGGTTATTTATACGCATCATTACAACTGAATTTTGTTTATTTGTTTTATGTTTTTTGTTTTGTTTTTGTTTTGTAAATGTTTCATTTATTTAAGACCATCTGGCAAGGACGTGTGATGGGCTAGCCAGCCTTGAAGGACTTCTGACAGAGTCAATATCAAGGCTTCGAAACGTGCCATTTATATTGCAACAGGTAAAAATGAAAGACAGAGAAATAATTTAATTAGTGATGACCAATTTAGAGATAAAACATCTATCTATTCTGATAATCAGCAGCATCGTGCAAAACATGTGATGGTAAAACGTATGTGTTGTTCTATGTGTTGTTCTAAAAGTATGTGTTGTTTCTACGAAAAAGGCTGGTAAAATGGTAAAGTGGGTATATTATCTCAGAAATTGCTTATACATGTGTTTGAATAGATATTTTCATAATTAAAATCCTTGAAGCTATTATTTTATCCAAATAAATGATGATATGTTTGAATGTCATTAACATTTAAGTTTTAACTAAATGTAAGGACTTTTTTAAGGATTTCGAGAACGGGGTTTTTCATCGAACATTACTACAAGGCGAACGCTTTTCAACTCAAAAAGAAGGTATTCCTGGAATTCCAGAGGAACTGCACGACGAAGCACATGATTAAATGCGCAAAATTGAAAGGTTAGCTTATCAAGCATTTTGCATTCATAATTGTTAAATTTATTTTTTTCTGCTTTTTTTTGTACAAGAAAATAAATTTAAACTAAATAAATGAAAAAATTTCAGAAAAAATTTGGGAAATTTATATAAAAAAATCAAATAATTTCCCGTAATTGTTTTAAATTTAGGATTGCTATGCTCAATCTTTGTAAAAAAAAAGAAAAAAAACTTTGTATTGCAAAAATGTATTGAAATCTAGGATATTGCTAATGAATATGTCTTTTGTTTGTTTGATTGGGGTTTTCGTCACACCGACACAGTATAGGTCATTTGGCAACGTTCCATCTTTCCTGGTAGAGGGTGACCTCAGGTACCCTTCCTTTGTAGTGTAACGCTCAGATCTGAATAAACTCAATATGAACAAGTCAACACAATATAAAGTTTATAAACGTCATATATATGTATTTATTTTATATGATTTACTGTTCACCAATACAACACAATTGTTTTAACAATGTCTTTAACAACTTTACAATTCTTATACAAATATTTAAAATAATAAGAATTAATGCCAATTGCGTATTTAGCATAATTTAACCTTAAGTGAGTGAGTCTGCTTTAACATCAAAAACTACACTAAATAATCAAATATTTCGCTCCCCTTATATACTAAAATACTTTACGCCTAAGATTTAATAACTTAATAATTCATAGAGTATATATGCATTTGTTGACAGCTAAACAATTAAATAACCCATTATATTTGCACGATCTAAAGTACAAAAGGTACACTTCCCGTTTACACCAAGTCGTCCCTTGTAGTGTAACGCTCAGATCTGAATAAACTCAATATGAACAAGTCAACACAATATAAAGTTTATAAACGTCATATATATGTATTTATTTTATATGATTTACTGTTCACCAATACAACACAATTGTTTTAACAATGTCTTTAACAACTTTACAATTCTTATACAAATATTTAAAATAATAAGAATTAATGCCAATTGCGTATTTAGCATAATTTAACCTTAAGTGAGTGAGTCTGCTTTAACATCAAAAACTACACTAAATAATCAAATATTTCGCTCCCCTTATATACTAAAATACTTTACGCCTAAGATTTAATAACTTAATAATTCATAGAGTATATATGCATTTGTTGACAGCTAAACAATTAAATAACCCATTATATTTGCACGATCTAAAGTACAAAAGGTACACTTCCCGTTTAGTGTTGACAGGTCTATTAATTAACTAAATTAAACATAGTATTCGTGACAGCTCATTAAATTAATATATCCGTCTATGCATACCGGTGACAGCTCATTAAATTAATATATCCGTCTATGCATACCGTTAACTAATTACCGGCTAATTACCGTTATCCTACACCTTGCATTATTTCAGGCATGAACGGGCACCTGAGTAGAACCACCGACGTTCGTAAGCTAGCTGGATAGCTTCCTAAGATGACAGAATCTAAAGTCCCTGTCGGGATTCGAACACACAGCGGTGAGGGGGAATGGTTTGAAGTCAACGACCTTTACTAGTCGGCCACTGACGCCCCCATTTAAATGAGAGAATGTACAAACTCTGTTTAAAATCTGCATCCCCTTTTACTAGTCAGGTTAATGATGTATTTTCTTTTAAAAACTCTAATAATTGTTGACACTTCTGGTATGCAATTTTAAATATTGGGTACAGTTTAAAACGTAACATATTTTCCCTCTGTGCGCACTATAATGATGTTTATTTTACATAAAAACGACTGTGGAGAAATTTGAGAGACATATTTTTGTATTGCTTTCCGACTAACATAATTTATACAATCAGTTCAAATTAATGTTTATAGTGAACATTAAAAGTGCCAGGTCAATGGTATCGGAATCATAATAAAATGACGTTATCTTGAATGGATCATTTAAAATTAAGAAAATTTGGACGTTTGCCAGCTAAAACAAAACAAACATTTTCTGTTACAGCTTAGAAAATAAGTGCACGGATTGATAAATTTAATGTAACGGGTAGTACACCGTGAAGCTTTAACGGTAAAACCGTCCATGAACAGACTCAATCAAACCGAGCCTGCACCATTTTCAATTTTGTTGTGTTTGGGCTTTCTTTAGGGATTCTGCTTTACTCTATTCTATTTGTATGTATACCTACGAATTAGCTTGGAAAACACCACATTTGCCGTGTTCTAGATAACATATATTATTTTTATTTTGTGCATACTTTCTTCAATTTCAGTTTAAGTGGATTGAGTTAGAGCAAATGTTTCACTTCAACAGCGATCGCCATGGCATAACGTTTTAAAACACACCTTGTTACCAAAAGACATTTGAGTTTCCTGCGTTCTGATGTAACTAATGCTTATGACACTGTAAAAAATATAAGAATAATCAGTCCAGATTCAAATCACCTACCAGCTATCAAAAATCTGGTAAATTGTGGAAGAAACGATGTAAATATGTGTAAATATTGATAAACTGTGTTTTGCAGCCTTTTAATGCTCTTGAATAATGTATTATCAAACTTTTGCATCAGTATTTCACTCTTACAATTTCTTAAATAATCTTATCGCCCTTTAGGAAGAGTGTGTCATGTATTGATACCATTTTAGGTTTTACTTGTACATGTATGAAAATGTTTCTTAGCATAAATCTAAATAACAAATATGCAAAAGTCAAAAATGGAAACCTTAAGGAACGCCCAAAGGGGAATATTTGTAGTCTTGGACTTGGAGTCTATTCATTGAAAGTTGTGGTACATACAAGCTACAGTCCACGACCCCTTGCACCGCCTGGAGTATAATGCAACATTAAAACATGAAAATGATCAAAATTTGGATTTAGAAATTTCCGTAGATGTTTTCATACGACATTTGTCATGGACCAGTTTTAAAATAGCGGACAGTATTATAATGAGTATTGAATAAAATTGTATTATACGTGAGCCTTAGTAACAAAGTCTTTAATGAGTATTGAATACCTGAGCCTTAGTAACAAAGTTTTTCATTGGTTTTTGCAAGTTGATATGTTGAATTCTTTTTGAAAGTCTTTTGACAAATGTTTATTTCATTTTGTTTTTAAGTTAAGTTTAACCTCCAAAAACGCATGTTTTTGATTGTAATAAGGAAACAGAAGCAATAAAGACAAGCTAAAGTATAATTTTTGTTTTCCTCATAAATCATTTATACCTTATATTAGACTCATGTTTATGCTTGTACTATAAGTATCATTTATATCTGCGTCTTTATGTATACATGTATAATCTGTGTAAGCTTATTATGAATTAATGATACCACTCGCGTTTCAGATATTTAGCCACGTTTCAGATATTTAGCCAAAAATACGTATACAATACATACTGAAAATTCAGTATGAACATTTAAGCTGAAGATGCTATAAGTGTTGCATATAAATAATTGTAAAAGATATAACTGTATATTTTTAACATCCAATTTGTTCAGTATTATTACTAATTGTTTTTATATTATTTGATATTTTACTTGCATTTGGATATTCATTGACGCATATTATAAACAGCATAATGTTAATGTATTACTTTGTTTGAAATGATTCCTTATGCTTACTTTTATTTGTTTATAACTGTGAAGTGATATTATGTTTGAAAATCAAATAAGCCAATTTTTTTATATTAAAGATACTAAGGATAAGAGTTATAAAAAAGAACTTGAAGTAAGATAAATTTGAGTCGCATCATGGTAATACCAACGTAATGCGTTTGCGACCAGGATGGATCAAGACCAGCATGCGCATCCAGGTCAGGATCCGTGCTGTTCGTTATCAGTTTCTCTACTTGTAATAGGGTTTGCAAACGAACAGCATGGATGCTGATCAGACTGCGCAGATGCTCTATATTGGTTTTGTCATGGCGCAGCTCATTTTATTTTCCTAAATGAGTGTTACCTCCTATTCAATGATTACACAATAAACACTGCATGAATTTTTATATCACTCGTTAACAATTACCGCTAAAAGATCAGTAACTGACACTCCCTCTTAGTATTTGTTTTTGTTACAGTTATTACCCTTGAACAAAACAAAATGTAATTACACATTTTAATGTAAAATATCAAACTTATGTGATATAAAATACCATTCTCAAAAATGTTACTATTAAGATGCAATATCTAATGTATTTGCTTAGAAAAAGTAATGTTTTAACTTTTACCAAAAAGGTGTGCTTTAGAATAACAAAATCAAAAAAATATTTACTGTGAAAAAGCAATTATAAAGACAAACAGATTTGTCTTTTTCATGTATTTAATAGTTGTTAAATACGAAGGTAGATCAATATGTTATGCAATATGGCCAATAAACTTAACAAAAGAGCAAATATTATACAACTTTCTATTCAAACAATTCGGAATAATCTCCTTTTAAATAAATACAAAAATTCTGAAGCTTAATATCCATTTTTTTTCTACATAGCCCTCCTTAATATGAGCCTTGTCACGACAAAACCAACATAATGGGTTTGCGACCAGCATGGATCTAGACCAGCCTGAGCATCCGCG